GAGGGAGGACAAAGAGGGATGGATGCTGCYGTTCCCACCTGGTGGCACGGTGCTGTCCTGGCACAGGTTGTGGGGTGCTGTGGGAGAGGGCAGTGCCATGGTGGGAAGATTGGGGGCACTTTGCTCAGCTGTGCTCTGATTCCCTTCCTTTAGTCCCTGCAGCAGCTGCTACCTAGACCCTGCCTGTAAGCCCAGCTCAGGCATCCTGCTTCTCATCAGCACCAGGTCCATCAAACCCCCTCGTCGTTGCCTGCCTCCTCCATCCTGCTGGACAGAGGAAAGAGGTTTCCACTCCTCAGCCTGAGAAAAGAAACTGCTGGGATGCAGAGACCTCGCCTGCTTGGAGAGGTTTGGAACCTCCTGCCCTGGTGGTATCTGGGTCTGGTGGGGAACACTAACCACTGCTCTCCGGGATCTCCCAGAGTGTTTTGAGGAGCCTGGCTGTGTGCAGCAGGAAGAGGTGGCAAATCCCCATCAGGGCTCTGCTACTGGGACAGAGTGGCAAGCACTGCTTGTGCTGCTGCTTCAGGGCAAGGTTCACCCCTTATTAGACCTCAGAGAAGCCACCCCAGGGTTCATCCTGACTCTGAGCTCCACTTTCACCTCCCCAGCCCAGGAGCATGCCACTAGGCCAGGCTTCCTTGTTTGCAGCTCTGCTGCCCCAGCAGACCAGAGCCAGGGAGGATTCCTGGTGGGATTGACGGGGCAGATGGAGCCAAGACCTGCACGAGGCACAGCTCCTGCCACCAGCATGCCCATTGCCGGGCACGCGGCSCTGCTGCTGTGCCAGGCCCACGGGCTTTGTCGTGAGCTGCTGCTGCGCCCTGGCAGCCCTTCAAAGAGGAGGCTGATGGTGCTGGCTTCCTCCAGTGATGTCCTGCAAAGCCCTGTCCCCTGCCAGCCCTGCTCCTGTGGGCGCTCTGCCACGTACTGGGACGTGCAGCTGGGGCCGGGTGCCAGTGCCAGGCCCGAGGAACAGCCTTGTCAAGGCTGTCCCCAAGGCTTCCTGCTGCTTTAGCCCAGACCCTGGCTCCTCCTGCCAGCATTGGCATTCCTTGTCATCCCAGCGGGAGCTCCGGCAGGAGCTGGCAGTGCCCTGGCTGTGTTTGGGGAGATGGATGGTGGCTTTTGCACGTGCATTTCTTGGCTATTTCGTGTCCTTTCCCTGCAGGCAGCAGCAGCTCCCTTGGCTTCCACCCTGCTGAGTGCCAGCCGTGGAAAACTCTGTTCTCATCCGTGCCAGCGTGGAGGGCAGCAGGCAGAGCAGCGGCAAAGGCTCCGTCACAGCCTGCCAGGACAGCCCCGCAGCGACACGGGGACATCTCTGTGTCCAAAAGCAAGGAAGTGTCTTGCACCAGCTGAGGCTCTCGGGTCTGGCTGTGACCCTCCTCTTCCTCCAGCTGGGATGCGACTGCCTGGGTGAGGAGTCGGGTTGGTATAAGCCATCCCACATGGGAAGTGTGGGATGAATTCATACATACATTGACCTTCAGCAGAGACAATGGGATTCCTTTTTGCAGGGATATGTTTGTTTTATGATGAGGCCAGAGTCATTTTGTCCTCTTTTCCTTTCTGAATTATTGCAGCTCTTTTGCATGGAGGAGACYAGGGCTGTGCTTAGCACCCCAACCAAGGGATCAGGACACTGGGACTGGCAGAACCACTGCCATATGGATGCTCTCAGCCTGGGGATTTTTCTTTCTCCTCCGCATTTGGTGCGATTGCTGCATCCTACTGGGATGACAGATTCCCACTCCTGGGCCAGGCTGGTGAAACAGCCTTCCGTCTTCAAAGGGTTTGAAACCTGCAGGAATTCCGATTAGAATGGTTTGAATCATCTCCTGAAAAGGTCTTGCCTCACTCTTGGGCACTGATCTGCTCTGTATTCAAGCCCTGATCACCTCATCTCCTGAGCCAGAGAGTAAAGTATGCAGAGAAAAAGCTCCCATAAAGCATCATATAGGTGAGCAGGCAGGTGTGGGGTGTGCTGGGGGTGAGACCCCTTTTCTCAGTCCTGTGCCCAGTTCCTGTCCCTTGGACCTGAATGTGCTTTTCCATATGGAGCAAGGGTTCCTCCTTGATGTCGATGTTCCTCTCATGGAGGGGCAGAGCACAGAGCTGGGCCGAGTCTCCCCCATGCTTGCCGTACTGGAGACAGCACCAGGCAAGTTCAACATCTCTCCTCAAACCTTTCTTTCCCTGTGAGGTCAATCCTGGCCTGTGCTAGGGCAGCTCTCATCTCACCAGACGTCCTGCTGCTCTTGACCAGTGTCATAGTGTATCTGAGCTCTGTTGGCTCTGCCCTGCGGTAGTGAGACCTGGAGGGGCCTCCCCAGGAGGAGATGGAGCCACTGACCTTTGGTCATTTCCTTTGGCATCTCAACTGGTGTCAGCCCAAGAGGGCCTGGCCTCAGATCTCCTCTCTTAAGGGGAAAATGGAATAAGGTTGACCTGTCATGTGCATGCAAAGGAAATATCGAGATCCTAGAGGCTCACTGCTGTGACATGCCATTATAGGCATGTACTTATTGCCCTTGAGCCAGTCCTGGAGTGCAGCCTTCAACCATGCTCCAGCTTCAGACCTGGTGGTCTCTTCCCAGGGAAAAGTTCATGTATGGTGCCTGTAAGGCCCAGAGCACGGTCAAGCTCTTCTGTTTTTTGGTTGCTCTAGCTCTGTGGAGGTAGATGATGTGAGAAGAACTAGCCTGGAAATGTCACATATCTGTCCCAGGACTTGCTACTCTTCCTGCTGTCTCCCTGCCATGTGTCTGCAAACCAGAGAGGAGTTCCTTCCCCATCAGCAACACAGGTCAAAGGGTTCTCAGTCAAGACATGCTGCCAGGAAGGCCATTGTGATGATGGTGGCTACCTCCCTGGGCCTGTTGGAGCATTGCCCTGATCTTCTGCATGGGAGGCAAAATGCCCACATGGATGCTAGCTGCAAGTGAGGATACAGGTGAGTCTTATCTGCTGTGAGCTGCAGCAACAGGCCAGGTGTTGCTGAAGACCTACTRAAGGGAGGATTTGCCAAGAAAGCTCCAAGTAGGTGTGTGTGGCCAGTGCAACACACACTGCCATGGGCAAAGCTGGGCCATGTCACAGCTGGAGGGCTTCCCAAACCAGGGTCTCACTGAGATCTCAGGTTCTCAGACAGAGGTTTGCAGGTGCTGCTGCCTTACCCTTGTCTCCACAGAGGAGCCACAGCGCTGGACACCATCATCATCGTGGTTGTGCCTTTGGTGCCTTCAGTGCTACCAGCTGAGACGTGCCCCATGCCTGCAGCTCTGTGCTTAATCAACCCAATTAGCAATTTCATCTTGTTAGCAAAGCAGCGTAATTGCAGCATTATTAAATCAAGCAGCAGAATGGCAATGCCTGCTTAATAGCTGATAAGAGCGTGCCCTGACGGGGAGGAGGTGATGCCGTGATCCGTGGGACATGTAAGCAGGTTTGTCAGCCCTCAGCCTCCCTGCGAGCCAGAGGGACCCTGSAGACCCCGGGAGCTGCCCTGAGGCTCTGTTTTGCCTAGCGTTTCTCAGGCAGTTTTGATGTGAGGAGACATCCCCATGGTTGGTGACCGCAGTGCTCAGGGGTGGTACCTGTGTGCGTGCTGGAACTTGGCCGAGCAGCTCCTGGCTCYGTGTTCTTGCTGCATTTCCTTCCTCTGCTCTCGCTGCAGGGTGCTACAGGCTGCCTCTCAGCCTGTTTTGGACAAAGCTAAGGAGAGAGGTGGCCTCTCACTTCTCTTGGTCGCTGGATGGCTTCTGTGTGTCTGCCTTCAGTCTCCTGTTCCTCCAGCCTGGGCTGAAGATGGATGATGTTGTTTTGGGCTGGTTGTCTCTCCCCAGCCTCTGGCAAGGAGGTTTCAGCATATGCCTTGGACYGGAGGAGATGTCACAGGCTGCATCTCTGGCTGCTTGCAATATCTGACCAGTTTCAGCCAGGGTGGGGGGTAGGGGGTGTCCATTGGCTCAGTCTTTGTGGAAAAAACATCTTTCACCCTCTGCCATTTAGTTAGGCTCTTTCTGTGGATTCCCCACCCACAGGGGACACAGTTTTCACTCATGGCTTTTGCAGACATTGCAGAAATATGCAAAAGGGGCAGAGTTTGTCACCAAAATGGGGGAGACGGTGGAACAGCTCCGTGCAACATCTTAGAGTGAGGGATGCAACAAGTCCCTTCCTGGGGGCAGGAGCCAGCTGACCTGGGGAGCTGCCAGACCTGGTGATGTTCCTCACCCCAGTGCTGCTCCCTGAGGGAGCTCAGTGCCTCCTGTGATGTTCAACGTGGCCCTTCCCTGGTCGGGGGGAGCTGCTCACATCCCAACAGCACCAGGCTGATACTGCAGTAGGATAAATGATCACCTCCCTATTTCCTGCTGCTCAGGGCTCTCAATCTCATCCTGGCAGGACCACCAGCCTGTGGGCAGGATTCCTTGGGCTGTGCTGGGAGGAGATGGAAGGGAGTGGCTGTCAGGTCCCTTGTGAAGTCCAGCTCCTCCCTGCATGCCACCCATGAGACATTTGAGAGCTACAAACTGGAGARGATGGAAGTTCCCAAGCAAAGATTCCTGCCCAGTGACCACCCAAATGCTCTTTCCCCCTCATTATCCAAGGATCACTAGTTTTCCTCACCATTCTCMCCATACTTTGTGCTAACAGGCAAGACCCCTCTCCTGCGCTGGGCTGGGCTTACCTCCTTGCTCGGTGGGGACCAGGGTGCAGGGCCAGGCTAAGCCAGCACCAGCCTGCTCGCTGCAGGGCAAATGTGGGAGGCTGGCAAGCGGCTGTGGGGCAGAGTCTGCTGCATGTTGGCACCACCAAGGTGCCACCAGCTCGGGAGCAGTAAATGATGACAGATACTTGGCATTTGGGACTGTATAACCCTCTTTTCTGCCCTCCAAAGCGGGGTGAGGAGCAGGAAAACAGTCACATGCCACGWAATTTTGGGCCAAGGGCCTTTATTAGATATAACAGCTGGGAGGGGGCTAAGGGGAATGTCTTGGGGACGGGAAGGCAGCTGGAACCAGCAGCAGGGCAATGCAGGAGCCGGGACAGGCATGGAGCAGGGCTGGCACCGTCCCCGTGCCCCAGGGACCTGGCACGGGCAGCGCGGTCCTTGGAGCAGCTCTGTGCAGCCAGCTGGTGCCGGCCACAGCATCCTCGGACCATCCCGGGAACTGGAGCTCACACTGGAGAAAGGGAGAGAAAACAGCGGTTTGTCTGGTGCCCGGAGCAACCCCAGCCCAGGCCTCTGGCTCTGTCCCCAGGCAGGTCGCCCTGCTGTACCAGTACCGTAGGAGATGGGGATGGCAGGCGGGCGGGAGATGCATCTCCTCCCGCAGAAGGTTGGGCAGCACTTCTTGAAGCGGGGGCAGTGCTGGTCCATGAAGCAGTGGTTTGGAGGGTTGACCATGGCGCAGGTGATCTGCACCTTCGGGCAGGACCAGGCRCTGCCTGCGAGAGGAAGGGAGTGTTTGCTCCAGGCTGGCTTTGTCCCCAGGGAGACRCACCCGCAGCTCACGGGTCTGTCCCCTCCTTCCCTCTGCCCTCCCGGAGCAGGAGCCACCCGCTCCCAATGGCATCCATGCGGAGAAGGAGCTGCCCCTGCACGGCCACTGGCTCCATGCAGCCCCTGGTCCCTGCACCCACAGCAGGTCCCACAGCACCCCAGTCCCCAGCACCCCAGTCCCCAGCACCCCCGTCCCCAGCACCCCACAGGGTGTCCCCAGGCTCCTGCAGGAGCTGGTGGCTCTGGGGCACTGCTTGCTGCTGGGAGGGAAGGTCCGGCGGGATCCCTGTCCCCCAGGCCATTGTGATGTCCAAGGCATCCAGAGGTTCACCTKGAAACATCCCTCTCCTCCATTTCTCCTTCCTTTCCTTGCTGCATCCTCTTCCTTTGMTGCATCCTCTCCTCCCTTGGCTTTTACATCTGGGAGCCTCTCAGGAAAGCTCCTTCCTTTTCCCTCTCCTTCCTTTTCCCTCCACCCTTTTGGGCTTTTCCTCCCCTCGCCCTATTCAAGGAGCTTCCCTACCTGCTGGCAGCTCTGTCCAGAGGATGAGCAGCCCCGCGAGGAGCACGGCAGCCACAGGCTTCATGTCGTCGTGTCCCCTGTGAGGTCTGAGTGTGCAGAGCTGGGGACGGTGGCATTTAAACTCTCGGGGTGAGCCTGGGGGCTGGGGAGGAGGGCTGGACGAATGTCAGTGTTTACACCTTTTTCTACAGCCATTGCATGTGCTTTCCGGGAGCTTTTTGCACAAGACAAACATGAGATTGTTCAATTGCTCAAAAAAAAAAAAAAAAAAAGAGAAAGTGTCTCATTGCACAACCGCCCCGTGCAGCCATACCTGGGGAGGTGAGGGATAAGCCAAGGCGAGCTGCTCCGGGGCACTTTTCCCTGAAGCGAAAGGCAGGGCTAGGGCTCCTAGCACATGGGGAGCTGCATTTGTCCCCTGGAGGTGTCACAGGGACCCTGCTGGGGCCTGTTTTGGGGTTTGCTCCTCAGGCTTCCCTCTAAACCYTGCACTCATCTGCAAAGCAGACCCTGCAGCGCATTGTGGATTCTGCCTGTGTCCCACCAAGCCCTCCACCGTGGAGAGTTTTCCAAGGGACACTGGCCCATCGGAGAGGAATAGCTCATTCAGTCTCACAGGGACATAAGCTAATGTGGGAAGGTAACRCTGCAGCCATCAAGAGAGAGGCTTTCCTGAGGGTCATCCCAACCCAAGGGTCTCCTGTGGGGACTGGTGACACGTGGGAAGCATCTCCGTGCTGGCAGAAAGCTGTGGGACCCAGCAGCACTGGAGCACTGCCTCTGTCACCAGACATCTCCAGGTCCACGGGGAGAGGACAACTGCCTGCTGCTGGCAGTGGTGTTGGGGTGAGGGGCTCGAGCCCTCGCTTGGGCAGTCCGTGCCTCTTCCCAGCACAGCTGGTGTCTTTAGAGGCGCTTGGGCAACGGGAAATTGCTCCACTTCCCACCAGTGGGTCAATATCTCACTTGTCTGGTGTAACAGGTTCCTAAAATGCCATCCTTGGGATTCCTGATATGGGTGGAAACTGGGGCTGGGCAGCCCCAGGGAATGTCCCAGCTGGAAATGCCYGGCACAGCCCAAGGCACCAGAGCTTGGCTGCCCGGTGCTCCTGCCCGGGCAGCCCCTGGTTTCACAACAGGGCAGCAGAACCAGCGGGACACCCTGCTGGAGCCAGCCCCGCTCCCGGAGCTCCTATTGGGAATACTGCTCCCACTGGGAATACTGCTGCTGCCCCACGCTCACCGTATCGCGCTTCCTTCCCTGTGCTCGACACTGATGTATTAGCCCAAGCCCATTCATTTCCTGGCTATTTGTTAATGATTGCCCAGTTTAATGATCCTGCKGCTGCTGGTTTATTTATTTATTGTTTAGTCCTTTATTAAAGAGGCCACTTAGCCAAATCACATAGACATGCTCTGCCTTGCACCAATAATTCAGCATTTCTAAGCATCACCTTCATTTTTAAGCCACCTTTTTGGTGTCAGTTGCTCCTGGGTTGCTTCAGGRCGATATTATGTGCTCAGCTGCTTCCAGGGCCCACAGTCGTCCAGTGCTGAGGCCCTGCAAACTCATAGCACAAATCAGGTGGGATGGACCCGGGGGGACCCCCACACACACAGGTGGTAACGGAGAGGCAGCTCTGAGGCCAAACCCAAGGGCTTTGAGATGGGCATAKCCACATCCTGCTGGTACTGTTCTGTCTGTGAAAAAGGGGGATTTAACGGCTGAGTCTGTAATGCTTAAGTTGGTTATTTAGATTTGTGATGCTTTAAAGCTGTAGGGAAAATTGTCCCTCCATGTGATTCTGTGGCAAAAGTGACTAAGTGAAAAAAGAAAATYCAAGAGCACGACTGCTTCTTGCAGCTCCTAAAGTCCATGGGGGAAAATATATAAAGGCATTTTGAGTAGCAAAGAGCATCCCTTAGGGGGATTGTTGATAGAGCTTTTTTTTCCATGGCAAGTTCTGGCATAGGGAAAAGCACAAAATCAGAGTGTAACCAGCCATAGAACAACCCAGAGGATGACATTTCTGGCTACAGCTTTCCTGAGTGGCCCTTTTGCCACACTCCACATGCAGGCCAAGGTCCTGCAAGGACATGCCCAGCACCCTGGCCTGCATGAGGGGCACCCTGCAAGCCTTGCACCGGGCAACACGGGATGTTGCTGGTGGGCACTGCAATTTCCTACCAGGGCTGGGTTTGTTCCTCCTTGGGGACAGATGGACGAAAGCGAGCTGCCCGGCTCACCTTGCCCTGCAGCTCTGCCCCAGCAAAGCCTGGCCCTGCTCCTCCTGTGGCTGCTTCCCCCAGTAAATAATAAAATAAAATAAATAATAATAATAATAATAATAATAAAAAAAACCTTCTTTCCTTTCCCTTTTTCCCAGCTTCCTGGAGGTGCAGAGATGAGTTGAGCTGCTGTCAGCTCACGTCTTGTCCCCTCCTGCATGGAGGGGACCCAGAGTGACGGAGTTTTGGTGGCCCAGGCTGGCATCTCCATGGGGATGCAGGAGGCCACGCACAGCTGATGCTGCTTCAAGTTGCAGGTCCCCCAGGACCGGTCCCAAAGTGTCAGCATGGGTCACACCACCAGCAGGCTGCAAAGAGCCCCCAAGARCCCCAGCTGGGTCTAATTAGACCCAGTCCCAGCTGGGTCTAATTAGTGCTGGCGTCTGGTGCCACCTAGTGAAGAGCCACCAACGAGGCCGCCCTGCGCCAAGGAAGCCCCTCACCGTGGTCTCCCGGCTGCTCCRGCCTCTCCTTGCCCTGGGGATGCTCTTCCTGATATCTCCCCTTCCTGAGCCCGAGCCCAAGCCTTTCCCATGGGCATAACCAGGTCCAGCACCTTTACTCGCTCCAGCTGAGCCCAGTTCTGCGACAGACATGGGACATTTGCCCAAGTTTGTCCCATTTGGGATATGATGCCTCAGGCATCGCTCAGATGCAGAGACCTCCCTGCTTTGCTCCAGGGGCCAAGCGAAAAGGAGAGACGTGACATAGAAATCGTCTGTGTTTTTATTGTCAGGATAGAAATTTATATATATAAAAGAAGTGTTTAAAAATAGTACTACCCTGCTCTCAAAAACGAAATATATATACACACACACACATAGATATTTATAGAGAGAATTATTATCATTTGCTATTTGGTAAAAATCAAGGGGGATGGGACTGATTCTGATGGAATTCTGCTAACGGGGGGTGAAAGGAGGTTCTGGGGGACCCTGTGCCCTGCTSGGCCCTTTCCCTGCTCCGAAGGGACCAGCCGCACAGCGGGAGCTTCCCGCCTGCTCCTGATTCGCAGCAGCCGCAGAGATTCCCAGGACAAACATTCCGTTTTCCTCTTGCAGAAGAGAGGGAAGGGCAACATGGGGCACTCGGCAGCGGGGTTGGTGCCAGTAGGTGCCACCTCGCCACTTTAGAAAACAGCCCTGGCTCCCATCCCCTCCCTGATGGTCCAAACTGACCACACAATCACAGCCCACCTCATCCCAAGTTGGGAAGAACAAGGGAAGAGCAAAGACTGGACCCAGCTGCTTTGCAACAGGGGGTGGCTTGAGKTCTTTGGGGGATATTTTTTTCAATACACTGATTCCCCTCGAGATTTTGTGATACAAGAACAAAGAATGATGGTTTACAAAAATCTAGCAACAGCAACTCCACATGGCTCCCATCCTGTTCCCGCCCGAGCTCTTCTGGCCTCCCGCGAGGATCAGTTCTTGTTGGCCACCTGCTTTTCCAGGACCTCCAGTCTAGCCGTCATCTGAGCAAGTGAGTGCGTTAAGGAAACCCGTGTGAGCCAGGACAAGTCCAGGAGCCCCTTGGGGCTGCTCTGCCCAACCCAGAGCAGCTCCAGCCTCACTCGGAGCTGCTCCTAAGGTGTCCTCACCTCAGGGTGCCACACAACCTCAGGTGGGACTTGGTGTCCATGTTAGCATAGTAGACACCACAGCAGGGCTTTTTGTTTTCCCAGAAAGAGCCTAAATTCTCCCYGATCTTACTTACCCTCTTATCTAACCCCAAGGAGACGTCTGGCCAGATGCAGCCCTGCTAGCACCACCAGCAAGGACAGCCCTCCCTGACCACCCCTGTTTCCCACCCCTGCGCCTTCCCAAGCTCCCGGCCACGAGGAGCCTGCTCTGTCCTGCTGCGMGCTCGCGCGTCATCCCAAAGGATATTCCTCTCGGTCAGGCTCTCCAGGATGGCCACGGTGTTGGTCTGGAACTGCACCAGCGCCTCGCACTCACACGGGCTGCGGATCTCCATCTCCCCCTTGCCCTCCTCTGAAACAGCAGCTGTTGTCAGTGGCACATTCCCAGAGCCCAGCATCCCGGGAAGAGCCAGCTGGGCTCTTCCCCTCCCTCCCATACTCAACAATTTCCCTTTTCTCCCTCTTTTTCCAGTSTTACTTGTATTCCTCAGGCTTGGTCTCTGCTTAGCTAACAAAATTGCAGCCATCTCAGGCGTTGATGCCCAATGAGCAAGTCCCCGCATGGACATCCCCCCTGCAGCTCCTTTTGCCACAGGCTGCAGGGACACAGAGCACCYCAACAGCCCCAGGAGCTGCCGGGCACATCGCACTGTGGGGCTGTGTCCCCAGTGCCACTGCTGTTGCTCCCGCACCATCTCTTTGGGACTAAGCACCTCCTGGTTCTACCTTCTCCTCTTTCAAGGCTCTCCGAGATCCACCTCTCTATGTCCACCATGGCCTTAAGGATCCAGAGAGGAAAACTCTAGGAGGGCACCAGCCCAGGCTGAAATATGGGCCCTGCCTGATGACCCCCCCACAACTAACTTAGGGCTAGGCTGGCCTGGTGCAGCTGGGATGGGAGCCTGGCCTGCACCCACCTGGGCAGATGTTCAGCTTGAAGTTCTCCACAAGATGGGTCATGGTGGTGAAGTCTGCTGAGTAGGAGAAGTGCTGCTCCACCGGCTCAGAGGCGATCGCCCGTAGCTCCTCTTCCACGGCCTTGCCCACACCAACGGCAAACATGACGATCCCTGTGCAGGAGGATGGGATAGTTCCTCAGCRCACTGTGGACCTGCTGGCCCCAAGCCCAAGCAATCCCATGCCAGCCAGAAGAAGCAACGTGGAGCAGCTCTCATGAGGGGTATGGGGTTCCCCAGGGGGCTCAGGCCCAGGGCAACCCCTTTAACATGGTGGGGGTTTGGGGAGGAGGCAGTTTCCTCAGCCTCTGTCCCCCCATACCTGATTCCTTTGCTCTCCTGGCCCATTCAGAGATGTCATCCTGGGAGCGCCCATCCGTGAAGACCAGCCCAATTCTGGGCACATTGTGGGAGAGAGGCCGGGCGCCTTCCCGCTCGGAGAAGCTGTGCTCCACCATGTGCTTGAGGGCAAGGCCTGTCATGGTGCCTTTCTCCATATACTCCACGTTCATCACGGCCTTCTTGATCTCATCCGCCGTCGCGTACTTGTTGAGGGGGAACTCGGTGCGCACACGGCTGGAGTACTGCACCAGCCCCACCTGTGTGCCGTGGGGGGACACRTCCAGCAGATCCACGATGCGGTTCACAAACTGCTTCACCAGCTCGAAGTTCTGGGGCCGGACGCTCTTGGAGCCGTCRATCACCATGACCAGGTCAACGTGCCCAGCCCCACACTCTGCAGGCACAGGAGGAAAGTGAGCAAGGCCCAGAAGATGCTTCCCAGGATGGACAGGGCTGGGGCAGACCTGCTGGGCCACTGTATGGACGTGTCTCCTGGATTTGCTGCTAGGCTGAAGCTGGACACCAGGATAGCATCTAGATATTTCACCCTGAAGTCTTCCCCTCCCACATCACCATTCCCTGAGAGTCTCTGCTCCGCATCCTTCTTGTCCTGAAGGATTTCGTTTCCCAAACCTCCCATGACATCTGGGCCGTGTCTCTAAGGACATGAGCCYTCAACTGTCCACACAGTGCTCCTTACCCTCCCCATCCAGCAGCCGGGACTCTCCACCGAGCCCGGCAGGCTCTCTGCCTCTTTCCAACACAGCTCCAATTCCCCCTTGGATCCACACTTCAGTTCACATCCCAGCCCTGCCCTGCTGGGTGGCCAACAGTCGCGTGCCGAAGGCCGGCCCCGGAGGACGCCACACGCTGTGTCCCTGTACTCACTGTTACACGTCTTGCCGTCAGCCTGCAGCTGCTGTCCCTCGGGGCAAACGCAGCGGTAAGAGCCCTCGGCGCTCACACACCTGAACTCGCAGCCGTGGTCCACCCCATTGCAGAGGTCGTTGGCTGAAACAACAAGCCCAAGGCAGGTGGGTATCTGCATCCGAGCGCTAYGGCCTGGGAAGAGCCTGCAGAAACCTCTCCCTTTGGGCTCCTGGCGAGGCTGGGACACAGTGTTCCCACCTAGGGCAGGCAGCGCTCCCCTTCTCCAGGAGAGGGGCTGGCCTGATCCATGGACAACCCTCGCTCCGCTCCCTGGAGAACAGCCAAGGAAGGCAGATTCCAGCAGCCCGGCTTAGGGGAGCAGGAAGGCTCAACACCCAGGGTCCAGCTGGAGGAAGAGCATCCCACAACACCTCTAACATGTGCCACCCCTTTTCCCCATCCCTGGGCTAGCAGGGGGACATGACCATACCCGCTGGGCGCTGTCCCCGTGCTGCTGAGCCGGGACTCACCCCTGCAGGACTTGCTGTCGGGCTGCAGCGCGAAGCCGCTGCGGCAGCGGCAGTAGTGCCCGTTGGGGACACTCACGCACTCGTGCTGGCAGCTGTGGTTTCCGAAGCTGCAGTAATCGATCACTGGTGGGAGAAGACAACACATGGGCAGGAGCTGCTCTGTATGCCGAGCCTTTGGCATCGTCAGTGGACATTGCATGGGGTCAGAGCGCTCAGGAGCAGCACTCGTGATGACTGCTAGCACCACACCAAAACCCAGAGAGCTCCTAGCTCTTGCTTGCTGCCCAACCAAGGGCCAAGGAGGGTCTTAAAGCCAGGAAGGGAAGGGTTGAGATAAGCGAAAGAGGAAGAGCGAGCAGAGGATGAGGAAGGAAGGCAGAAGCAGCAGGAAGGGAGGCAGGCACTTACTCGTGCAGGTCTTCTTGTCCTGGTTGAGGTGGTAGCCAGCGCGGCAGCGGCACGAGTAGGTCCCGTGCGCRCTGACGCACTGGTGCTCGCAGCCGTGCCGCCCGTCCGCGCACRCGTCGATGGCTGCGGGGGGAAGCAGACACCCCGTCAGGCTCCCCACTCCGTCCCCGGCACCACCAGCCCCGGAGGAGGCTCATCCTCCAGCAGCACCCGGGCAAACCCAGCCCCAGGGCAGCCACAGCAGGGCCTGCTCCGCTTTGCACACAAAATATGGGGCCAAAACATTGTGTCGTTCAGGGGCTGGGATATCTGCTCTCAAGTATGCAGTGCCAGGAGTAACCTCATAGCATGGAGAGCATTTTGTGTCCATGCGAATCCCTCGTGTCCCAGCACAGGGAAGCGACCAGGATTTAGCAGGGCAGCAGCCGCTCCGCAGCCGTTCCCACTGCAAAGGCTCCCGCAGGACAGTTGAGCCAGCAGGCAAAAAGCACAAACTCGTTAGTGCAGAGCACTGTTCTCGGCAATTGCACAAATGGGAGACTGTGGCACCCAGCGAACAGCGCGCCTCAGGTTGTCACCGGCCTTAGGAGGTCTTTGCTCCTGAGACCTGCAAGTGCAAGTCCTCCCTAGGAGCGGGGATAGGAAAGGGTGTTTACGAGAGCACGTCTTCCCGTCCGCCTCGAGCYGGTGTCCCGGGTGGCACTCGCAGTAGAAGGAGCCGGGGATGCTCACGCAGCTGTGCTGGCAGCCGTGCTCCCGCTCCATGCACAGGTCCGCCCCTGGAAGACACAAGGACATTGCAGCACCCACGCACACGCCAGCTGCACCTGCAGGCACCCTGTCCCACCAGCCTAAGCTTTGAGGCTCCAGTGTCCCATCTGGGAAAGAAATCACAGAATCATAGAATATTCAAGGTTGGAAGGGACCTCTAGAGATCATCTAGTCCAACCTTCCTGCTCCAGCAGGGACACCTAGAGCATGTGGCACAGGGTGACGTCCAGGCGGGTTTGGAAGACCTCCAGAGAAGGAGACTCCACAGSCTCCCTGGGCAGCCTGTTCCAGGGCTCTGGCACCCTCACAGTGGAGAAGTTTTTCCTCACACGCATTCCTTCCTGTGTTGCAGCTTGCACCCATTGCCCCTTGTCCTGTCACTGGTCACCAATGAAAAGAGCTTGTCCCCTTCTTCCCTGCATTCTCCCTTCATGAACTTATTCATGTTAATCATATCCCCTCTCAGCCTTCTCTTCTCCAAGCTGAACAGGCCCAACTCACAGGATGYCAACTTGTGTAGCCATCCAAGCACCACTGGATGCCAACTTGTGTAGGCATCCAAGCATCCAATGCTTAGATGACTACAAACACCCATTCAGAAATCATCCTTTCAGCCCAGTTTCTGTGCTGGGCTCCAGAGGCAAGTAGCGGGCACCTTGAGCATCCATCCTCCTCCCTGCTGGGCCTCCCTTACCGCAGAGCTTGTCCTGGAACTGCTTGCCGAACTGCTGGATGAGCTCGAAGGACTCCACCAGGAAGACGTGCTCCTCGAGCGGCGGGGAGGCCATGGCCCGCAGCGAGCTCATGTCCGCCCGCTGGATGCCCACGGCGTATATCTCAATGCCAGCGGCGCGAGCCTGGGCGGCCACCTCGCTGACGCGGTCCTGGGGCCGCCCGTCCGTCACGATGATGGCCACGCGGGGGATCTTCTTGTGCGGCGGGCGCGCGCCCTCCGCCGCGCTGAAGGCCACGTTCATGGCGTACTGGATGGCCAGGCCCGTCATGGTGCCCTGGGCCAGCGGCACGATGTTGTTGATGGCCTTCTCCATGTCCGCCCGCTTGAAGAAGGTCTTGAGGGAGAAGATGTTCTGCACCTGGCTGGAGTACTGGATGACCCCCACGCGCGTGGCGTTGGGGCCCACGTCCAGGCTGCCGATGATATCGATCATGAAGCGCCGCATGGTCTCGAACTCAAAGGGGCGCACGCTGCGGGAGCTGTCGATGACGAACACGATGTCCAGCGGCCCCGTCTTGCACTTGAGGGCTGCATGGGAGCAAAGAGGTGGTTCGAACAKCCAACTGGCCCATGCAACTGCTGGGAGAAGGACTGGGAGCAGAGCCATGGGGCAGCTCGAGGGCTGCTCCAAGTGGCATGGAGAGTACAGGCTTGGGTAGCCCCAAGAAAACCAGCCAGGTGCCCCACACTGTGATCTGCAACGTGCTCCCACGAARGCCCCAGCCACCTGCTTTGCAGGCTCCCAGGCCTGTAGCAGCCAAGCAGAAAAATACAAGTTTGGGCAACTCTTGTATTTCTCCTGCAACTCCTGTGTCACCTCCTTTTTACTGCATTTTGCCCGTTGCTGTCTAAAAGCAAAGCCTTTAATGTAATGGCACAGTGCAAAGCACTGCTAAGGGCAGGCACACGGAGAAGCCTCAGCCAAGGAGCCTCTCTTGGATACCTGGATGTAACTCCCAGCRTGAGCCAGGAGACCGTTAGCATGTGCAGTGCCAACAACTATATTTTGCTTGGCTTATCCGTACCCAAGTCTTGGCCTTAGCAGTAAGCAAGCACTTTGAGTCCCCAAGGGAAGATGTCGAGGAAGAGCCGTAATCATGGTTGCTCCAGAGGTCTCTGAGACATACCTGGCTCCTTTCTCCATTTAGTRTCATCACGGAGAGTGGACACTGGGTCTCCCATTTCAAACAGTAAGCTGTTCTCCAAAGGTTTTATTGTCCCGCTCCTATCACCCCACCAAGCAGTTCCTATCCCATCCCACTGCCTTAGTCTGGGCTCACCTGCAGGTTTTGGTCTGGCTTCCAGCGTTGTTAGGACCAGCAGGAGGAGAGGAGTGACAGGTAGGAGCTTCATCATTGCTATCCAAGACTGCACAGCCTTTGAGACTTGGGAACCTTGCTGTGAGGAGAAGACAGAGAAGTCAGGGCTGATRGTGGCCACTGTCGGCCGGCACCCACCTTGTGACTGAAGGAGTGGAAATGGGGTGGACAAGACAGAAATCCACTTCTTCCCTGGGAAATAACCCAATGGGGAACATTCCCACAGGTGACACGAGTCTCCCAGGGCTCAGACTCCCACTCGCAGCTCCTGCAGGTGAGGACCCACACRCAGTGCAGCAGCACATTAGCTCCCCAAACGTCTCGGTGCCCGCGTGAAACTTCTCCTGCTTGAGGACTGGCAGTCTCAGCAGAGCTGAATTTCATTAGAAAAGCCGGTTTGCCAAGCAAAAAAAAAAAGTCTTGGTCTGATTTTCTGCTCTGGGTGGAACTGGACGGAGGACAAGCCTTATTTTCACTTGCAAACCAGGCGGATCTGGTGTCCGGCCAAAGTCTTTCTTAGCTGGCTGCACGGCCGCTCTCCTCTGCCAGAGGATGAGTGGGAAAGCTGCCCCGGGAATAGGGAACGCCGGCTCCCAAAGTGCCCGGGGCTCGGCAGGCTGCAGGGCTGCCAGCCCGTTACTGGGCAGAGAAGTCCCCCTGTTAACCCCAGCATAGGGAAAAGTTGCTCAGAAGTCCCTTCAAGTCACTGGTAAAAAATAAAAATTAAAAAATTAAAAATCCAAAGAGTTCTCTAAATTTAAACCCTGCTTTTTTTCCCTCCAAAGTGCCTTTGGGGAGCTGAGGACAAAAGCCTCCACAAGCACAGGGCCCACAAATCTTGCATCTTCAGAGGAAGCAGGACCTTGAGCAAACCCACCAGTCTTCACCAGTTTGGCAGCGCTCTCGTTTTGGGTGTTTTCTCTAAGGTTTGCTCTGTATCTGGGTGATTAGTTCACGTGTGCGAAGCTGGTGCCCAAATTTGGTGGCTAAGTTATCTAGATTGGCTACCCAAACCCTCAGCACGTCGCTGCTCTCCCTCTCTGCCCATCTCTGACTTCCTGCCTTGGCTTTCACCACCCTGGCCTGGCTCCTGGAGGGACACGAGTTATTTGGGATGGAGCGGGGGGAAGTGCTGTGACCCAGGACGGAGCAGGTGCCAGCGCTCCTGCAACATCCGAGCCTAATAAAAGAAGGGAGAAACAGCACAAGCTGCTAAACAATAAGGCCTTGGTGTGAGGAGAGCCAAAGCAGGAGCCGTTATCAAGGYACCTCCGGAATAACCTGATCCACCGCGAAACCCAAGCTCTGTGATCCGCCCCGCTCCCAAAGAGCCCGGGGTGCTGCTCCACCGAGGCKCCACCGAGGATGCGGCCGGGGAGGCAGCACCCCGAGAGCACCCCCAGCACCCGCACACAGCTGGGGAGAGCGGGAGGCAGCTCCGGGGACACGGGACCTGAGGAGCCGAAGGGAGACCCAAAGGCACCAGTGCACCCAAAGGCACTGCTCCCAGTGCAGTGCACCCAAAGGCATTGTTCCCAAGGCAGGGAATGGCACCAAGAGCTTGGCAGCGCCCCCGGCCCTGCTCCTCATGCCCAGGATCACCCCCTTGCCAAGCRGTCGCTCTCAGAGGGCGACAGCCGGGTTAAATGGGCATCTTGCCCCCCTAAGAGAAGGTCTCCGGAGACACCGGTCTATGCACAAGCCTGGGGATGAACTAGCTGGGAATAGATTGCTTCCCTGCAGTCAAAGGAGATGATCGCAGCTCCGTTCCCATCAGAAATCTGGGATGCCGCAGGGAAATTCCACAGTGAGCCCGGCTTCCCCCAGGAGACACTGCACCATGCCCGGGAGCAGCGCTGTTAAGCAGCACACTGGAAATTTGTTTTATCGGTAGTTAYCAGCCAATGTTTGCTTAGCCCCGGGAGGTCTCAGCTGTAATTCATCACCCGGGTTTCCATTTAATTGCCAAGTGATAATGTGCAGCCCTGAGCAGAATGTGTTTGATAGCAGGGAGGCTGATAAGAGATTTCGCGGCTGCATCTTAAAATTGTCTGCAGCTTCAGTGCTCAGCCCTGAGAAGTGATACTGAAGAATTCAGATGGACAGAAAGCCAGGAAAGGGCTACAGGAAGGAATCAGGATGCACAACATCACTATCCACATGTGACACTCAACACCTATCTGTAACTTAGACAGTGGGATGTTAAGAACTGACTTGCACCCAGGCATGTAGCTACRTCCACGGGCAAGGAAAGGCCAGCAGGAAAAGTCCAAACAAAAGCAGTGATCAAAGCCAGATAGTCCTTGTGTATGGAGGAGAGGTGCTCTTGATGCCGGTGTCACTCTTGACTTGCTGTCCCCATTACCAGCCCCGAGAACTTGGGTGCCTTCACTCTCACAGCCGTGCAAAGGGAAAAGCAAAGAGCCTCCTTTCCTTTCCCCCTTTCCCCATTGTTTTTTAGCAGATTCTTTTTCCAGCAATCCTGTTTTCAGAAGAAAGCACTCTCTAACCACTAAATATTTTGGGGGCATTCGTGCCATCTCAAACATTTCTGCAGATCTCTGCTTTCCAAGCGTCGCTGCAGCAGCAGGCTGGCGCCGAGCCCACGTCTCGCAGCATCCGGAGCGCTTCAAAGCCAGCGCGGACGGAGGAATGAGCTCCGCGGCCGGGAGCCGAGCGGCAGGAAGGCAGTTCACAACTGCTCTATTTTTAACTTTTGGAAGATGCCTTCGCGCTCCCCGCGGCTAAAGGGGCCTTGCCTGGACGGAGGATGGCACAACGGCTCCGTCACGCACGCTGTGCTGCTCCTCGCAGCAGAGCCTGGGCTAGGACATGGCTTTGAGAGGGTGTCCATGGAGGACGTGGAAGAGAAGGCAGCGGGATGGAGCCCGGGGAGAGGCTGAAGGCCAGACCCACCTCTTCCTCCATCGTCTGCTTGGTGGCTTCCCCGGGAGCATCCAGGCTGCTGCTGGCCCCTGACTCTCCCGAGGCGCAGGGAGCGCGGTGGGAAGCGAGCGGCTGGCAGGCAGGTGCTGCCGYGCCGGGCAAACACGGCGCCCGCCCCAGCGCAGACCTTGAGATAAAGCGGAGCTTTAAGCGGGGAGGTTCAGCTGGGGTGAGCGGAGCGGCGCCTGTGGCCATGGGCTCAGCCCGGCCCCTCAGCCGCTGACATGGGCTCCCGCCTCCCGCCATTCCCTGCCCTTCCTAAGCCACCCACGGGAAGGGCAGCGCGCTGCGTTTCACTGCTCAACGAGGTTGGTACCTGAGGCAAAGAGCACCCCGAAGAGCCACAATTACAGCACGGAAGGGTCAGCAATGACCCCAGGCACCTGCCAGTGATCCTGGGCAAGGAGGACTCGGAGATGAATCTCCCAAGGCAAGCGGGTAAGTCGGCCTGGCCTTCCTGGTGCCCCCTTCCCTGCGCGTGTCCCCAGGGCTGCCTCCGGCCTCCCGCTCTGCTCCTCCGTGTGTCTGTCTGGCTTCTCTGCCAAGTGCTGGAGCTCAGCGAAAACACCCGCCTTGGGTTTCAGCACAGCCGCCTTGGCAGTTCTCTCCTGGCTACAGGTTAATAGAAATGTTCTGAATATTCCCCCTGTGACTCAGCTGCGCAGGTCGGGAACCCAGATCTTCTCCTAGAGACAGCCCAAAACAGCAGCTCACGGCAGGGAGCAGGGCACAGGGCTCACCAGGAAGGGATGCCCATTTGCTCTGGRTTCTCCGTCTGGATTTTCTATTTTGAATGAGGGAGAAGATAAAGCAGCTGGAGAAAGAGAAGGCAGAAGGCTCAGGAGGTGGCAATGCATTTGCAAAGTTAGCACATGCCSCGACTGTAGAGTCACGGAGGAAAGCAGATTTCAGACCATGGTTTTGGAATGAGATGCAACCTGGTTCACGATCCTGTACAGCTGGTACCTCTGCCTTTAGCCAAGAGTTTTGCAAAAGGCAAGAAGGAGCCTGACTTTAGCCCTTTCATGGGAAATTGCAAACTGGAAGCACATGACAGGAGCAATAGCTCAGAGCATGCAAGAAGCCAGGTCAAGGACTCGCTGTGCGTTGCGAGGAGCACGAAACAGCCAGGACAGCTCTGACCGATTGTGCTGCTGATGCAGCGTGGGCTTGCAGAGCGTGAGCAGACCCAGAGCACAGACACATGTAGATGCTGGTCACCCTGCACCACGGGCTGGCATGACAAGGGCACACAGCGCTGGTGCAACATGTGCTGTGAGCTAGCAGCACGTATTTCTGTCCTGAAAGTCCTGGCCAGCAGCGGAGCTGCCTGAGACACCCTGTTCCTGTGACTCACGCAGCCTGCCCAGCTCTGCAGACCCTGCTTTGCTCTGCACCCCACTGCAGGGCTTCTCTTCGCTGAGGGCCAAGCAGGCAGCTTGGGCAGGCCATAAGGCAACTCCCACCGAGTGTTATTCAAGAGCAAGGACAAAAAAAAAAAAAAAAAAACACCAAAATGGGCTTGGGATCTGGACATACCTTGCTGAAAACCAAGGTCATGCCCCAAACCTGCCAAGACAATAGAAGGACAGCAGGACCCGGACTGTAGGACAAGGAGACACATCTACACTTGTCCTTGGTGAGACAGCAAGTGATCCTTCAGGTCCATGCCCAGCAGAAATGGGCTTCCCAAAAAGCACATTTTGGATCAGGAAAGGCTGACAGAAGTGAGTTACTCCAGTCCCGTGGAGAAGAAGTAGCGCAAATTATGCCTATCTGGAGGCATCTRCTGATGACAAGTTTTGCTGTGGAAACCCCAGGAGATCTCTGCCACTTTGCCCAGACACACGGAATATGCTCAGCTCACAAGAAGAGAAGAGTGATGCAATCCAGACTAACCATCCCGCTRCCTGCAAGCATCCAATCCACCCACGGAAGGATCCTCAGGACCAGGCAGCACTGACATTGCTATCAATCAAACACTGGTGTCTCACAGCTGGACCTCCAGATCATATGGGTGACAAGCTGCAGGTCATGAGAATAAGGACAGTTGTGCAGTTTTTGGAGCAGGAAAGCTGCAGGGAATGCAAACAAGCATGCTGAGGCCAGAG